AATAATGCACTAACATTTACAAATGAACTTCCTTCATATCACTTTATTACGACTATCACCACAATTGCTATTATCCCGTGATTACTCTAATTCTTAGTATAAGGATATTTAGATCAGCATTACCTTTAAAAATAAAACACTTAGGAACACAACTCATCTGAAACCTAACATTCTATTCCATATCATGAATTATTTGTGAACCATAAGTGATTAAATTCTACGCGAGACAAAGCTACTTATATTTCAAGTCAATCAATCAATTTACAAAAATACTGTGTTGTTTATTACAGGGAAAATTATGTAACGTTCAAATACAATTACATGGTGTTGATAATCTCATTATTTGAAATAACAAAGTACATTACCTTTCATACAGCTACCATCCTCACCCTTCGTCCAACCTTCTCTACAGTAGCATCCTCTTTCACCGTTACGAATGGCACACTCTGCATTCTCGTCGCAATTCTCGCTGCTGCATTGTACACGACCATCGGTACACTGACATGACATGGAGCAGTCATCAGTCAACCAGTGATCTCCAGGCTAAAGGATTAATTTAAAAGGTAGTTTCTATTACATTCATCATAACGCTTTGCGAGGTTTTTTAATGCGACCAACTGAGTTTGGTGTGATTAAAATAAGGTAGTCTTTCGTTTGTCATTTATTTTTATTCAAATTTTAAAACTCTGAAATTAACTTACAGAATAATAGAATCCATTTTCGGAGCAACCGCACTGTGATGGTTGAATACAGATGTCACCATCCAGAATTGTTCCCGTTGGACATTCACATGTTTCAATGCACGCACCAGGACACTCCCTGGTTGGTTCAGAATCCACACACGTTCCGGGACAGGCACTGGCGCATGGGCTGTACACTTTTCCGTCTTCACATTCCATTGCTGAATAAACAAATAAATTAGTTAGTAGAACAAAACAAAGACATCATCAGCAATAGGATAACAACCTTGGCGATATTTCGCTGTCAATCACATTTCTGAGTTGCTTATACTTTTGCTTATACTTACGGCACTGGGGTGTTTCTGTTCGCCAATGTCCAGGTGACCCTCCGCGTTCTC